CAAGACTACAAAACGCACAGAAATAAAACATAAAAATACGTCATCAACACCTAACTAATTTGAGGGGGCGGTGGTGGATGGAGCAGCACCAGTCGATTGCACGGCAGCAGTCGATGAAGACATAGCAGCAGATGTTGACTGCGCCGCAAAAGTCGACTGAGCAGCCATGGTCGACGATACGACGAAAGCAATTGATTGTGTGATTGCAGCCGACGAGGCAAAAGCAGCGAATCCAACTGAGCCGCTATGGTCGACTGGGCAGCCATAATTGGAGCAGAAGCAGCAGCAGCAACGGTCGACTGCATGGCCACGGTCGAAGCTAGAGCTGAAGTAGATGGACCAGAGGAGGACGAAGGAGCATTGGTGGTCAAGGGCTGGGGAGGAATAACCACAGAGAGGCGTACCACGGGCGTCTCGCCAGGCTTAGGTACATCGAAAGAACTCTTCAAGGAAGGATCCCTCGCTAAAGTCCGCTCCAAGGACTCTGTCCACCATGGATGCTTAGCGGTTAAGCTGTGATCACCGGTGAAGTTGGAGGGCGCAGAAGGAATCGCCTCCCAAGTTTTGTCCTGGTCGAGTTCGCCCGTGAACCCCATGTCCTTCAGCTGACGCTCGACCTCTTCCATGCTATAGGTATAGAAATCCATACCCATCCCAGCAGCTTCTTTGAGGAAGGCAGTCGAGCAGAGACAATCTTGAATCAGCTGCTCTCGATAAGCCTTGAGGAAGGCCTGACCAAGTTGGGTCCTCCACAAGGCCCAACGGGATTGCTCCATAGCAACGACAACCGCCGCCTCGACCTCTTTCTTTCGGCCAGTCCTCTCCACTTCGAGGGCTTTATCCTTGCCCTTTAGCGCGTCTTCGTATCGCTGCTCATCTTCCTTCAGCTGCTCAGCCAGCGCGTGGCGTGTTTTGAGCAGGTCCTCATTCTCAGCCTTCAGCCTCCTAATCTCCTCCTCTAGGCGCCGGTTGTCGTCCTCGAGCACAGGAATTGGGCGACCAGTGCCGTTCATTGTTTCCTCGAGGAGAGGCACAATGGAAACAAGAGTCCACAACAAGAAGAAGAATTAGAAAAGTGCAGACAAGAATATTCAAAGGCAGTGCTAGAAGGGAAATATACCTGGGTCACCGCACGAATGCGATATTCGGCCTGAGTTCGGCGATTCATCCCCCATCGGTGCGTATCGTCGAATGGCAAAAACCCCATTAGCCGTGACACGGCCTCTCGGGCCCGGCCGACACCAAGGAAAGCAAAGAGGTCGAGGAAGGATGCTGAACGAGATGGTCACCCGTAGACATCACCTCAAGATGAGATCGTTTGGGCGAAGGTGGAGGATTGACGGACTGTTGACCAACCACCTCAGAACGAACACGCTTCCTAGAGGCATCGTTGTCCTTGCTCGAGTGGCTGGGATGGCGTTTGACTTGTTTGAGCGGAGGGGAAGGAGCTCGCTGCTTGCTCGAGTGAGAAGGAGCCCCAGATTTCTCAGGACGAGAAAGAGCATCTTTGGTCGAAGACGGTCCCTTGGCCTTCTCGACAGAGGCCGAGGTGTCCTTATCGGTAGACCTCTTATCAGCAGACTTTTGAGGTTGGGCTTAGGCAAAAATCCCTCTGCACAAGAGGAATACATATTAGCAAAAACTTAAATTGATAACACCAGATAAAAAACACGACAAATATTATCTCGAGCACCTGCTCCAACATTCAAACTGACATCTACAAGGTTCTGGTCGATACGTATGGCGAGGAGGGTTTTAGCGAGAGGAGGAGAGAGGGTTTTATGGGTAAGGATGCCACAGTGATGGAAAAGGTTGTCGTTTTTTGAGCAAGGAAGAGGAAAAGACAGGTTTCAAATTCCACACCCGTATACGATGGTCGAAAAGGGGGTTAGTAGGAGCACCACGCTTGATGGGCACTTCTCTGAGCCACAGAGTGGGTTTCCAAGGATATGGTTGTGCAGGGGTCACATAAACAAATTAGTCCTTCCACCGGGGACATTGGATGGTCGATCGGCTATGAAACAAGCGATTATTTTGGCTTTTCAAGTATAACCCGTCGGCCTGTTTGGAAGCCGAATAGCAGTAAACAAAAAAATCGAGATCTACTCGACCCATGCGGACTATGCACATGATGATGAAGGTGGTCAGAATTCTAAAGGCATTGGGAGGAAGCTGATTCAGGGCCAACCCGTACACGCCGCAAAGATCGAGCAGGGCTTGGCAGATAGGAAAACGCAAACCTAGGTCGAAGTGGGCGCAGAAGAAGGTATAAGAGCCAGATCACCGGGAGTATAAAAGGCCCAGGATGACCAATTAGGTCGAAATCGAGCCGAGTGGTACCGGACGAAGAGGTTGATTTGGGTTTGTTAGGAGTAGAGGTGGTCGAAGGAGGAAGCAAACGAGAAGACAAAGGGATGAAATCCTTGGGATCACGGGTGGACAAGGGAATATTATCTACAAGATCATCTTCGTCCTCGTCGTCTTGACCAATCACCCGACGAGTATGCTCGGTGGGCGGAGAAGGAGGACGGCTAGTGACCTCCTCCTCTGGTTGGTCGACTAGGTAGGTGGAAGGAGAGAGCGCAGTGGCCGTGGGGCTATCACTGATGACAGTAGGTCGAATGATGAAAATAGGCTCGGGTTGGAGAATATCTTCGATGGAATCACTAGAGAAACTGGGAGTCGCAGAGGAGGAAGGAGGGGTCATGTCCTTTCCGCTGTACCGATCATTCTCGCTCGAAGTGGCGGAATCTGAAGAAAAAAGAGGAAAAACTAAATCAAAATAAAGAAGAGAAGGAGGAAGAAAGGTGAAGAACGACACAACAGCAGGACAGAAATGGGAGGCATGAGATGCGAGGAGAAGCGAGAGCGAAGAAAAGGGAATTCTAAATGAAAATACTCCAAGAAAAGGTTGAGAAGACTTACTCATAGTGGATGGCGACTTCTTTGCTGGGAGATCGAGGATCGTAAGGTTGCAGGAGAACTTGAATTGCAGGAAAGCTTGAGATTGCGAGAGTGCGAGAGCGAAGAAGAGGGAATTCTATCTAAGTGCTGGTATTTATATGGAGAATAAATAATCGAGGAGAAATTTTAGCCGTAGGATCACAAGCTCCAAAGGTCAGGATTAATGGGCAGGTGAAGAGACGCGACGACATCAGCCGTTGGATTAAAGCGATTGATCTAACGGTTCGCACGTACAAGGGTTTTTAAAAGTGGCACGACATTTTAAGCGGCGCAGTTCACAAGGCAATGATGACGCCTAACAGACGAAGAGACGCGTCTGCAAAGGCGGACAAGTGGCGGAATTCAAAATTCAAAATCGCAAAAGGGCGGTTATGGAGAAAAGTGGTCGAATAAAGTGGGAAACATGCCATGTGGTCGAAGCTAGAGATGTAAAACCTTGGTGACACAGACAAAGCCTACTCTTAGATCGAGTCATTCAGACTCAACCAGAGTGGGGGGACTAGATGATATGAGATATTATATAATAGACCGGTTTGTCAGGACAGTTGACTAAAACAGACCAACGGCTTGGTCGAATTGGACCGAGAATCAGCAATGGAGGGAATAAGGAAAGCAACAGAGAGGAGTAAGTTGGGCGACCTCAGACAAGTACCAGGGGCTCGAGGATTTGGTCAAGGGAGAACGATCAGATGGGCGTAGTCGTGGATTCGACCACCTCACACTTCGGGGACAACTTGGCATTCACTGGAGATTCGGTCGAACATTATGATAAACAAGAGAATCTCCAGCACGTGGAAAGGGGACACGCGACGCACAACGAGTGGTCCAGGGCAATAATGGTTTCTGACATTCCCTGACACACTGCGACGCGTTTTCTGACACCAGGATAGTGAAGGCGCGCGATCGTACGGACGAGCAGAAGGGCTATCAGCTGGACTCGCCCAAGCCGCGCGTGGAGAGCAGGTAACTCGTCTCTATAAATAGGGACGAGAACTCTCATTTTACACACAATCTCTCATACTCTTACACACTTACACATATATTCTTACCTCTCTTAAGATCTAACTTAAGCGTTGGAGGCTCTTCACCGGAAAACACCTCCAGTGTGAGAGTTGCGTGCAGGTTCTGTGTTCTACCGACGAGGAGAACGAGCTTGAGACGATTTCTAACCGGTCAGGGTGCGAGACCTGTATTAAATACGATAATGATAAATAATACTAAATAAATAAGAAATATGAAATTTAAATAATATAAAATTAACAAATAAATAAATAATAAAAAAACGGGCTGGACCGCGGGCCAGCCCGTCCCAGCCCGCTTTAGACCGCAGGCCGAACGGGGCGGGCCAAATAGGCCCGCGATTTAACGGGCTGGTCAAGCAAAGGCCCAAGCCCGTCCATTTAGGCAGACGGACGGACCAGCCCGCGGGCCATGACCCGTTTTGACAGTGCTACCCTTAATAATTACGAGGACCAAAATGCAATTAAGTTATTCTTGACGGCAAACTGAGCGACAACACAAACCGAACGTAATCGCATCGGCGTGGGGAAAGGCCCGCCATTACCGCCGCCATATTCTTCGCCTCCTCCTCAACACTAAATTCTCTCTCACTTCCAATTTTTCCGATTCATACACAATTTTCGTTATGTCGATTTTCAATTGATTTTCTTTTATTTTCCCCGAACCATCTCTCAAACATAATTTGGATTTGTGAAATTCAGAAATGGGCTCTTTGCTTTTTCGCCGGAGGCCATCTCGCCTTCTGGAGCCGGGTAACAGCTTTTTCCAGTTTCAGCCCATATATTTATTTTTTTCATTTTTCATGTTTTTTTAACGATGCTTTGAATTTTTGCTTTGTTTCTTGGGATGATTGAGTTTGTGAGTTGCTCTCAAGTTGTTAAGAGTTTCAAAATTGAGATGAAAGTAGCATAAGAAAGATTGAATTTTTATCTCGTCAGCCTTTTTTTTTTCTTCTTTTTCCCACTTGTAATATGTTTGCTTCATTGCTTGTACTTTTTTGTTTTGTTGCTGGTCAGGTAATGCAGGTTTCAATCATTGTCTAAGGAAGCTCAGCAGTTCCACTGAAGCCAAGAAATTTGATTTTACGGACCTCACGTAATAATGAATTCAATAATATGATCATTCAATTCTGGTTCATTGTTCTTCTTGTTAAAATGCTGTTTTTCCTTCACATTTAGGTGCCCACACGCATGGTATCCTACTGCTCGACGGAAGAAAAGGAATGTAATATTACATGTGGGTCCCACTAATAGTGGTAAAACGTATCATGCCCTGAAACGATTAGAGTCAAGTTCTTCGGGTACATTGAGACCCTTTTGTTTGTTCTTTTAGTCGAATCGTGCTTTTGGTTAGTTGCTTGAGCTGCATTTAGGAAGTTGATTGAATCACTATTGATTAGGTATTTATTGTGGGCCATTGAGGCTTTTGGCATGGGAAGTTGCTCAGCGGCTGAACAAGGCGAAAGTGCCGTGTGATCTTATTACCGGACAAGAGAGAGATGAAGTTGATGGAGCTAAACATAAGGCTGCCACTGTTGAGATGGCAGATGTGACATCTGATTATAAATGTGCCGTTGTTGATGAGATTCAGGTGTGTCTATGATCCATATCTTACACTTTTGACTTCATTTGGATGAGTTTTCATATCCATGCCTCGTAGCATGAAAAATACTTTGAATTGCAGAGAAATGTATTTGTTGGAGCATGTGATCAGTTGTGTTATGAATTGACTTGTATAGCTTTATCCCTGGTAGTCATCTTTCTTTCTTGTTTAAAGATGCTAGGTAGATTGTAAACACACTTATGCAA